CCCCAAAACCCCAAAACCCCAAAACCCCGACTATCCAATGTGGGAAAAAAATAAAAATCCAATATTTTTTGAATTAAATAATTATAAAATTCAGTTAAGAGTCTGAACTTTTTCCTCATTTTGAGTATATCCAGTAAAATATCTCTAATTCTTTTGATTAAATTACTTTTGAATTTCAAGAGCAGCTAATTAATACTCATCTATATAATATTAAAGACCTCTTGTCCCATTACTTTCTATTTGTTCATTTCTACTTTGTATTACATCATCTTGATTAATAAAGCCAAGGTCAGTTTTCCTAACTTTAACCTTAACATAGTCACTCTAATTATTTTGATAAATTCCATTAAGATCATTCCTATGATTTAAGCTCCTTTCATTTGTCTAACTTTAGAGTATCCTTTTTTATCTAGATTCATCAGTACTCTGATTTAATTGCGATGGAGAATTAATATACATATTGAAATCATTCAGTTCTTAGTCATTGAATTTTGGTTGTTTTACCCTTAACTTTTGGCTCGTCTTAGGATTAGACATAGACTAGTACATTGGCTGAAATTTTCTAGTTAAAGTGGATTTAGACTTCGGATACTTTAAAGATTCATTTGGAATATGCATTTACTCATTTAGGTTAAGTCTCTTCTCCACATCCTTAATAGTTAGTCTGCCTTATTTAAATATCAAGTTAGTAATCAAATTCGGGATGTATTATTAAAATGAGTCCAGTAGACTTTTACCTTGATTCAGAGTCAACCTAATCATATATTTTTGATATGTTCTCTAGTTCTCAGCAATTATAAAATATTCTAAATCTGATCTTGATATTTCTATTAAACTCTAATCCTCATCTTTTTCGATAAATGTATATTATTTCCAAATCACTTTTCTGTTATTGTCAATATTTGGTAACTTCATACAGTCAAGTGGAGATATTTGCTTAGTCATTTAACGCTAATTCTTAACAAATGGACCATTTATTGTCTGATTTAAAGGTAAAGAATAAAAAGTATCATTCTCCAACTCATAATTTGTAAGTCTACTCTACCCATCACCAGAAATATATGGTAACTCATTTCAACTTAAAGAACTCTAATCTAAAATCGTTGCAGCTGTTTGATCTATTTTTCTATTCTCAATCTAGGAATATACATTAAATGAAGCACTTATCATACAGAATGAAATTTTTTGGAATAAGCTGATTTTCTTAAATTTTCAGATCTATTCCTGCTTTAGTTATTTCTATTCTTTTTCCTTATTGTACCAAATATATATGGATATTCGCTTAGCTTTTAAGCCTGCTTTTCTTGATCTTATCTCTAAATTTCCCATTACTTTACATTGTAATTCGGCCCTGAATCTAAAAGTCTTTTTAAAAACTATTTGTTTTCTTAATGTATCTACTAGAGCTTCTTTTATCTGATTGAATACAAAGCATCATGTTTTTTCTTAATGTTCTCGATACCTTCTAAGAAAATAAGAGATTCATAAATCTTACTTTGATTAATAGGTAGATCATACTTAAAATGAATATTGCGCATTTTCTCATATAGTATTCTATTTTCCCTTTCAATTTCAGTAAATTTATCTATGATTATAAACTTAGAATATTAAGTACCCACTTATATCTAAATACTCTTTGCAGGATTTTACGAGAACTGCTTGAAAATTGAAGAATCATAGGATGTATTCACACAGGGCTTCGAATTTTACAATAAACTATTATGAAAATCCTTCTATCACTGGAGCTCTATAGATTGTAATATTTTATTTGGCGATCTTTAGGCTTTATACATTTTACAATAATTTTAATAATAAAAGTTAATTCATCACATTAAGTCTAATTAAATATCAATAAGTCAATCATTCAAATTTTTCAAAGCTGCCTATACTGCTGCATCAATTACAACCTTGTTTTCAAGAGCATTACCAGTCTCTCTAATTACATTCTCAACTACTGTATTCACTACTCCTTATATTTATAGAACATTCAAAAGTACATCAGAAGCTTATACTGTAAGTTCATCTCTACTATCAATTAATACATAATTCTTTAATAATCTATACATCCCTGGTAATATCACCTCATGATTCCTTAGAACTTATTCAATAATTAAGTCCATAAATTTCTCTTCGCAATGTTTAGAGTTCAAATATTCATGTATTATCTTTGAAATTAGTTTATTAGTGTCCTCTAAAAACCCTTTGTTATGAAGTAGCTTAATAAACAGATCTGTCATCAATGTCTTAATCTTAGGATTTTCGACGAGCTCAACTAATAAAGGAGCAACCTTTGGAGGTAGGTTTTCATTTCCGAAGACATTTTAATTTACCTACAATATAAGCTACTCTTTTACCTTTTAGTCGTATTTATTAGCAAGTTGCTAGAAGTAAATCTCGCCTGTTGTATGATTTATGAAGTATTTTTATCTAAAGTAGAGGAAATAGGATAAGTACCAACCAATTAGACCGAACACAAGTTTCTAGTTCCAAATAAGCCTTAATGTCGACTTTAATAAGAGATAATGATTCAAAGTATCCCATAGAAACTTCAACTTAATGCCTGTAATTCTACCATAGTATCCAAGGTTGTATATTATTCTGGTAGTCATAAAATATTTATTCATCATCTGCATGGATTCTAAGTTCATGATATACTTCAATATATGCCAAGGGGATAGAAAAAATTGTTTAAGATAGTGGAAAAGAGCATCATACATTTAATGAAGTGATAGGTGAGGGTATAAGTAAGCTAGCTTGTTTACAAGTATACGAAAGTATGTATTCTTTTGGATCTTGTGCTACCTGAGCAATATCAACTTCTTCTCAAAGCTTTTTACTTTAAACTATAGAACCTTTTTCTGCTTGAATTAAGGAGACTACTTATCAATAGGTATTGGTTTCTTTTTTAGACTTATATTAGCTTAAAGTGCTCTCTTTGAGAGATTTTCGAAGTAAAATCTGGCAAAAATAAACTTCTAATGTGCTCTTTGAACAAGTAAATTTCTTGTTATTTCTACTTTACTTCTTACGAACTAATGAAATAGACGGCGCTTTAAACTTGGCTGTGTAAGTTTCTTCAAAGCTATTTTTTTAAGTGAAAGTTCCGGATTAAACATCTTAATAACTTGGAGCTCTCTATAAGAAAAGCGACTTGCATAATAAATGCTTTACATATTTTATATTTTACTTTACTATATCATTTCCTCAGAATTAGTTATTTGAACTTTTAGGGGTTTTGGGGTTTTGGGGTTTTGGGGTTTTGGGG